ACCAAATCAGCGACCCATAATCCCCAAATTTCTCACAGACATATCTGGTCATAAAGACATTCACCTGAAAAAAATCAAAATCAAAAATAGTTGTGACTGTGGTGGTTTTGCCATTGTGTATGCCTGCTCAGTCATCAGCAACTGACCAATAGGGTCAGCTGACAGCCATAAAGCTAGGCTGTGGATTCACTCCCTAGTTGAAGACTGCAAGCCAGTAAAAACCAGACAATCAGGCCTCTCACAAAAAAAGCTGTTATGCCACAGGATTAAGGTGCAGTCATATGCTGCAGAGATGAAGGGTGTGTTTATGAGAGAAAGACAGTACAACTCCACCTTGCAAGGGCGAAAGCTAAATCACAGAACTGAACCCTGTGCTACTCGTCAAAATGTATGGGTGATCCAGAGTACAGGGACGAGTACATTTTGTGTGTCATTTGTAGGCAAACGCTTAACGTAAGGTAAGTCCATATTCCTAGTATTTCGGTTTAAATTTTTTTGTCATGTGAAAGTCTTTATGACCAGATATGTGTGTGAGAAATATTGTGATTATTGGTCGCTGATTTTGCATATTAATTCACATTAAGCTTTTTCCTTATAATGGGCGTCAACGGAGAGGAAAACGCTTAACGTAAGATAAAGTCCATATTCCTAGCATTTCGGCTTTGATTTTTTTTGTCAGGTGAAAGTCTTTATGACCAGATATGCCTGTGAGACAATTGGTGATTTTCGATCGCTCTTTTGGTACATTAAACCTTATGAGAGATTATACAGAGCAGTCCATAAACACACAGTCTGCAAACATGCACAGTCCATCAAACAGCCGGAATTCTGACAAGTTGAGCTACCTATCGAAACGTGCTATGGAGCCTTTCTACGCATGTGCAGTTCCACCGTTTTAGGATTAGGGTTAGGTTTTAGGGGTTAGGGTAAGGGTCAAGGTAAGGGTTTTAGGGGTTTTTGGGGGGTTAGGGTTAGGGTAAGAGTTAGGGTTAGGGCTATCGATTAGTGCCTCGGTAGCCTAACTCGACAAAGTAGCTCAACTCGACAGAACACTGGGTTTGTGTGGATATCTGATTTTCTCACTATTTAACTATTTAAACCATAAAAATACATACCCATCGCAGGGTACACTTACATATAATTCACCTATGGGCAATCTAGGAACTGTAATCAAACGTAGTATGTTTTTGGACTGTGTGTGTGTGTGTGTGTGTGGAGGAGGGGGGGGGGGACCAGGGGAAACCCCGTGATGACAATTTGGTAACTCCAATCAAACTTGGAAATCCCATAACGACACAGAGAGAATGTGCAAACTCTACGCAGATAACACTGTGGTGTGACCTACAGTGCCACCCACTATTCTCCGCTCTTGGTGATTGCTAAAGCATTACTAAAGAAAGAAGAAGCCGAAAATACCTCTGCAATGTTGTTACATTTGGAACCAGCAGAAGAGAAGAGTGTCGATGTCAGGTACGTCTACTTATGATACAGAAGAATAGCGGTTTAAAAACTAATTTCTGGGGGAAAACAAAAAAATTGCAGATATTTGCATAAGGAAAACGAACAGTTCGAGTTGGACACCGTAGACAGAACAACATTTTAGAAGAGAAGATTGACGTAGAAAATCGGCTGTTTTGCCGTTGAAGCCCATGGGGATGGGTGATATTAAAAATTGTACTACAGCTAAGAAACGTTAGTGTCCTTACAGTCCACGGTCAAAATGATTTGTAAATTAATGCATATAATCCTGTAATTCTGTTGTAAATAGTGTATGTGATAGCATTGGGTTGAATGTAATGTTTTTGAAGAAAATCCTCTGGTTCACACTATAGGCCTCTATATATCTTTTTTAATGCTGAACAAGATTATATAAAACTGCATTCAACTGCTGCTAAACGAATCCCACCTGCCGCCAATTTCACTACACGTCACTCAGCATATAACATAACTTCCTTAGTAATTTCTGTTACGCCAAGGCCCATCCAATTTCAGTCCTGATATTTTACTTAAAAGTGCAACAGTGTTAGATATTGAATAATAAGCTGTCATTATCGTTGTATTTTTTTTTTTTTACGCAATCCTATATGATGATTTTTGTGTACACTTGTGTGAAAGAGTCCTGTCAACACCACAGTAATTTTGAAACTTTATCCTATGTTCAACTGTACATATACTCAAAATTTTAAGAAGCCTTGGACGATATCTGTAAGGCAATTATTTTAATAAATTGGCCGCAGTAAACATTTTATAGTTTTTTTTTTTTTTTTTTTTTTTTTAAAGTAGATTTATATTTATATGATGATGCCACCACCATGCTTCACTGTAGGGATGGTATTGGCCTGGTGATGAGCAGTGCCTGGTTTCCTCCAAACATGACACCTGGCATTCACACCAAAGAGTTCAATCTTTGTCTCATCAGACCAGAGAATTTTGTTTATCATGGTCTGAGAGTCCTTCAGGTGCCTTTTGGCAAACTCCAGGCGGGCTGCCAAGTGCCTTTTACTAAGGAGTGGCTTCCGTCTGGCCACTCTACCATACAGGCCTGATTGGTGGATTGCTGCAGAGATGGTTGTCCTTCTGGAAGGTTCTCCTCTCTCCACAGAGGACCTCTGGAGCTCTGACAGAGTGACCATCGGGTTCTTGGTCACCTCCCTGACTAAGGCCCTTCTCCCCCGATCGGTCAGTTTAGTTGGCCGGCCAGCTCTAGGAACAGTACTGGTGGTTTCGAACGTCTTCCACTTATGGATGATGGAGGCCACTGTGCTCATTGGGACCTTCAAAGCAGCAGATTTTTTTCTGTAGCCTTCCCCCGATTTGTGCCTCGAGACAATCCTGTCTCGGAGGGCTACAGACAATTCCTTTAACTTCATGCTTGGTTTGTGCTCTGACATGCACTGTCAACTGTGGGACCTTATATAGACAGGTGTGTGCCTTTCAAAGTCATGTCCAATCAACTGAATTTACCACAGGTGGACTCCAATTAAGCTGCAGAAACATCTCAAGGATGATCAGTGGAAACAAGATGCACCTGAGCTCAGTTTTGAGCTTCATGGCAAAGGCTGTGAATACTTATGTACATGTAATTTCTCAGCTTTTTAATTTTTAATAAATTTGCAAAAATCTCAAGTAAACTTTTTTCACATTGTCATTAGGGGGTGTTGTGTGTAGAATTTTGAGGAAAAACATGAATTTAATCCATTTTGGAATAAGGCTGTAACATAACAAAATGTGGAAAAAGTGATGCGCTGTGAATACTTTCCAGATGCACTGTATATAGGCCTAGATTTCCCCCAGGTTTTCTGGTTTATTTCTCCCATTCAAAACATGCAGTTAGACTAACTGATGTTTCAGTTTTTTTGGAATCCCCCCACCCCGTAAATTTTCCTCTTATCTGCATAAGTGGAAAAGCACCCTCAGACTACTGGTCCCTGATTAAATCGCGGTTGGAAAGTACCTTGATCTCTCATTTTTGTTGTTCTGTGTGTTAGTTTCGGTTTTACATTTCGCATCAGGACCAGAGCATGTGAGCGGAGTGGAGCGGAGCGTGAGCGAGGAGCGGAGCGGGCGGAATTTGGTCAGAGTGCGGAGCGGTTTTTTAATTAAGGCTGGAGCGGTCGCTTTGTCTCGCTCCAGTTTCGCTCCGATACCGCTCACACTACGACTCTGAGGCGTGGCCAGATCTACCCAGAATTCATCTGTACAATTATCAAGACTATTACAGAAATTAGCCGAGATGGAATTCGCAAAGTATTTCACAAAGGAAACTGATAAATCATACAAGTGTACTATTCTTATCAAACGTATAGATAACAATAATGTACAGCAAGAACAACAATGTCATGAAACTGTTTCAGTGAGTAAAGATTCACTTTGGAATCACTTTTCTCAGAAACATGAGTGATATGCGAACAGGCGGAAGCCAAAGCATAACGTGAGCAAGATTTGTATGGTTGTAGCATATCAAGTCTATAAAGTAAATTAAAGTATAAAAAGCCTATAAAGTAAATATTGGTAATCAAATTCGTTTTGTCATTCAAAGTAGGTCTAATAGAATTTTTCTTAATTTCACGTAGGCTAATGCTGTCAGTGAAATTTTATTTTATAGAGACGCAGCAGCAGCATCAACAGAAAAAAATTGAGGAATTTAAAATGTGCCTGTATATTCTTTAGGCTATTAAGCCCACTGATTACTTTATTTTTAAGCCTATTTTTGTGTGGAATGCCATTGCCAAACCTGTCCGTTGTTGCCTATAAGTTGCTTAAAAATAAATATTTTCTGTTCTGACTGGCAATGTTGCCGTTGCTCATATTTCTTTATGATATAAGGCTTCGGTTTAAGGTGACATTTGTTATGCATGCAGATTATTTGTCCCTCTTTTAAACTGGAGCGAGCGTGGAGCGATTTGACTGGAGCGGGAGGAAATTTTAGTGGCGCGAGGAGCGGTGTTGAGCGGAGCGGCTTAGTGCGAATAAGAGCGGAGGAGCGGGCGGAGTCAACAGTCTCGTGAACGAGGAGCGGAAATTCTCACCGCTCCACTCCGCTCACATGCTCTGATCAGGACACGTCACAAAATGCGGTTAGTACTCGGAGTTATGGCTGCCTGTAGAAGTGTTAAATTTGTTGCCCATTTTTCAATTTAGTCTTAGTCAGTCTTGTGTCAAAGTTCCTTATTAGTCTTAGTCATATTTAGTCATTCATATATCAGTTTTTGTTAGTCATGTTTTAGTCGACTAAAAGTCTCAACATTTTAGTCTCGTTTTAGTCAAACAAAAACTCAAGTTATTTTAGTCAAGTTTTCGTTAAAACATTTTAGTCCGTTTTATTTGTTATTTCAGAGATGATTTCTGTTTATCATTACAGTTAAATTGTGTTCCACACCGTTTTTGATGCAGCTAATTTTAAGTTCAGAATGGAATATAGATTTGTCGTAAGATTTCTTGCTTGAGTCTGAAAGAGTTTGCAACCATGAACACGTACATTTTTTGTTTCACACTTTCACCTGAATTGATTTGTATAGAAAATAACCGTATACAGTTGTTAAAAAGCGGAAACTTCGACCAACATGAAATCACCAATAAACGACTTCTGTTTATTCAACATTTTATAAAAATGCATACTACGTTTAAAAATTTCCAGCTTTACGGTTTCAGGACAGAACAGCCACTCTGTTATGAACATTACAGTTTTTTGAGTGTTATTAGTGTTAATAACAGCAGCTAACAACACAATAGCGCAATCAAAAGGACTGCATATGTAACCCAGCTGAACTTAGCTTTACTTGGTTAATTTATTTGGAGGTTCTGGGCCCTTTAAGAGTCACGACAGTGCCAAAAACGGTGTCGGTGGCTGGTTACCATAGTGCTCTTAGTGGGGAATTCGCGGGCTTTTCATATATGTATGTATGTATGTATGTACTGTATGTATGTATGTGCGTGCGTGCTCTGCTCCTCGCCTGTCGCATTTTCAGTGACACTACATTTTCCTGCTAGGTGAGCATTATTATTTTATACATGAGGCTTTCGGTGTAATCTTCTGTGGGGTTACAGAAAGCTAATTAATGCTATTGACAGGCTAATCGTCTAATACCCATTATAATTAAGTTTGGTTTCGGTTCACATCCTATGTTTAAAATGTTATTTTTAACTTTAAAAGTCCAATGTTTCAGTGTCATGGCATACAATTTTTTTCCATTTGCAGATGGTACTCTGTATTTTATTGCCTTGTTACATTATGCTCGGCAGTTAAGTTTCCTTAATATTATGTGAGTGGGGAATTCGCGGGCTTTTCGTATATATATATATATATACCTGCAACCGAAGCAGTGTGTGGGTGCGCACTCTGTCTGTGTGCTCTGCTCCTCGTCTGTCGCATTTTCAGTGACAATATATTTTCCTGCTAGCAAAAGAAGAGGATTCTCTTGGCCATTGTCAGTGGGGTTCTTGGACCATTCCAAGGCAAAACATACATTTCCCTCCCGCTTCTTCCCATTTCATATGAGGTAATCTGCAACTCACAGTTATATATTTTCTTTTTTGCTGGCCAGGGTTCCCGCGGGGTCTTAAGTCTAAAATTCTGAAAGGCCTTAAAATGTCTTAAAAATGCCCAGATTTTCATCCTAGGTCTTAACATTTAATTTACCCATGTCTTAAAATTCTTACCTCCGTTCATTCACAAAAAGCGTTGTCCGCAGAAAATAAAATAGTAAAACTAATCCGTTGGTTGTGTTTTCTGGTCTGCACCGGTGTCTGCGTGGTAATAAAACTATAAATCCTCCCATGTGCCACGCCCCCTCTTTAACCCCGTGTGGATTTCCCGTGTTTATCAGCTGTTTCTAGTTGTTTTCATTAGTCTAATGTATTTAGGTCTGCCTTAGGTATGTTTTCCCTAGTCCGGTTATTAACGTCCGTCTTGCGCTTCTTCGATGTTCCTGTTTTGTCTCCCTTCTAAAAAACCCTCGTTCACCCGATCT